TAAAACTGTTACTTTCTCTTATATCAAGGGATAAATTTATATGCTAAAATTAAATTTTTATTAGTATAAATGTTTTAGTGAGATAATATATTAATTATTTTACAAGTTAGCCCTAACATGCTCATATTTAATGTTTTAAAAGATGTAGAAAAAAAAATTATAATAACTCTATTGTTTTTTGGACTTAAACGTTGATTAAAAGAGGTAAATTCTTAATTTTTTAGACTTAAACGTTGATTAAAAGAGGTAAAAATTCTTAATTTTTTAGACTTAAACGTTGACTAACACCATAGATTGAGAGTTTATATTTAGTAAAATTCCTAATTGTAATAAAAAAATTAATTTTTGCTATATTTTAGAATATCTTTAAATTCATTATAAAAAAAAAAGGAAAAAAAACTACAATGAAAAAAGCAAGTCAGCTATATATCGAATTGTTGTACTCCTCAAATCACATTCACAATTTGGCTACAAGGAGGGGAAACTCATTGATTAAAATATTATTTTGTCAGTAGTCTTAATGTACAAGAGACTTTAAAACTCCACTTGAATATTATAAAACTTTTATTAAACATTGTACAATTTTCTTGCGTATTATAAACTTTTATTGAATATTGCATCTTATAATATAATATTCTCCAAATAAATATATCTCGTGTTTCGCACAGGTCACGTACTATATATATCCCGTACATTTTTCTTTATTCATCCCGTACATTTTTCTTTATTCATGTATATAATTATAAGCCTGAATAAATAACTTAAAATTGTGCACCCCGCACACGAGCTGTAATAGTCTCACTAATAAGTAATAACTAACTATACTATTTTAATCATAGTTAATCATAGCTAGCATATATTATAGTTTTTAATTTTCCCCCATTAAATTGCTATTCGTCCGCCATTGACAGAACTCAAACGAGAAAAACAAACTGCCTACCGTCCACCCGGCTGATTCGAAGTTTCTTGGAGAAGTCAGACGAGGTATTTAGCTGTATATTAGTTTGTTTAATTAAATTTCCGTCATTTGTTTCATCTCTTTTTGATTTCGATCGACCTGCTGTGTGCCATTTGTCGAAGGTAATATGGAAAAAAAAAAAAAAATTGTAATGAATATCAACCTGCCGTGCTGTGTTGGGTCACAATTTGTGTTCCTTTTATAGAAATATTCGTGTGGAGTAAATGGTTTTTTGTCAGGAGGTCATATATAGTTTAGCCTTACACTTTGGTTGTTGTAGAATGCGATGAAAATATTTGAGTAGTTGATTCTTTCATCAGGAATCCAAAGCTGATATATTGATCTTTTCCTCTTTTATGCATTTTTCAATTGTTTTTTGTGTGAGTTTGTGAGTGTCAAAGGTCATTTGAACAAATTAGCTTTTCGGGACCCATTGCAGATAAACTAGGCGACGGATAAATGGCTGCGGAGAGCAGCGAGAAATGGGTTCTTGCGCTCACGGCGCAAACTCCAACGAACATAGCAGTGATAAAGTACTGGGGAAAGAGAGACGAAGACCTTATCCTTCCTATCAACGGCAGTATTAGCGTAACTCTCAACCCAGAGCACCTCTGCACCACCACCTCCGTTGCCGTCAGCCCGACTTTCACCCATGATCGCATGTGGCTCAACGGCAAGGTATAATTAATTCAATCATGGCTATTTCTTGCTTTATAAATTTGGGTATTCTTACTTATGTTGATGATGGTATGGTAGGAATTACATGTTAATACTTGAGCATTATCAGCTAATTTTTATTGGTGATTTGTTTAATTTTTTTGAAGTTTGGGAACTTTTGTTTTCATGAGACTTTGAGCAAGTCGTGATATTTTGTACTTGAAGTCATATTCGTCTGATTTTCTCCTACTACATTTGGGTTTTAGATTTGATTTGAGGTGTAAATGGTCGAGCTGAATGTCAAAAGTTTTGAATAAGATAAAAAAATTGGTACTTTTTGGCTTTGGACCAGTTTGAATGAGACTGAAGAACGTGATTTAAGTTAAATCGTGATTGCCAATGGAACCGAATAATTTGGCCGAATGCATTTAAGCTCGATGAATTAATAATATTTGAGGAAGAGTAACATAAGACACCTGCTTATACTGGTAGCTCTTTTTCTAGGTGGATAAAAAAAATTCCCTTTAAATGGAGAGTGCATTTTATAGAGCAAGATCTATTAATCTTTTCCATGAAAAGTTTTGTTTATCGCGATAATCGGTGTCATTTTATATTGTCTATTCTTCTTTGAATAATTTTAGTCGTTAGACTAAGTTAATCAGAGTTGTTGAGTTTATATGTATAGTTGAACCATTTGTTGTTTATGGTTTATTCTCCTGGGACTGAGTGTTGTCTTTGTGTCAGTTATTAATTCAAATGCGTAATATTTTCTTTCTTTCTGATCTTTATGATTCTAAGGCATAAAGTTATTATGTAGAAGAGATACTAAATTACTTACTTGCTGATCATATCTTTGTTATGTAGGAGGTATCCCTTTCCGGAGGCAGATTCCAGAATTGCCTGAGGGAACTTCGGTCGCGTGCTAGCGATGTTGAAGATGAGGAGAAAGGTGTTAAGATAGCAAAAGAGGACTGGGAGAAGTTGCATCTTCATATTGTTTCTTTTAACAATTTCCCTACTGCTGCTGGTTTAGCTTCATCGGCTGCGGGTTTGGCATGTTTAGGTAATATTATATTCTCTAAGATGCTTTGCTATGAAAATTAGGGACAATAGTATCTCTCTTTCACATTGTTAAATTGATCTTCCAATGGCCTTCAAAATTGAAACATTACAATATTACAATATTACAGGGTTTGCAGTTCAATAAATTAACATATTAATTGAATTCCTTGAAATTCATCTTTCACACTTTCATCAGCAGATAACTGATTACATGTTGATTACATGTTAATCTGGCCTATGCAGTGGAAAACTCATGTATAAACTCTCAAGTTACATATATTGGTGTTTCTGACTTTCTATTTAAATTTTTGTAAAACTGCCTATATTACTACTAATTCTTTCTGTAACTATGTGGCTGAACTCGATTGGTCGGCTTTTTGGCTTTTACCTTGGATCTTGTATAGGGCGACCTCAGCTAATCAGAAATGTTTGAAAGATTTAAATGCTATCTTTTGTGTCAAACCTGTTAGATAACTTATGTATTCAGTCAAATACAAAATTGACTATGTTTTGTAAAGTGCATCATTCATTGTATCTATTCCTGCATTGTCTTCACTTACCTTACCTTATGTAACTTTATTAACGTCAATTGTTTTTCTATATGCCAATTTTTGGGCATTATGAAAATTCCTTACTGTTTACTATTGACTGTCTTTCCTAATATGCATTGGTGTTTCTTAAAGTTTAAATTTATACAGCTATAGCTTATTTCATGGACCAAGCATGCACATCCTAGTTTTCAAGATACTTGATGTATGAATATCCAGACTTTGGCATGCTGCTTTTCCTAAATTGACATTGTTTAGTGTTGTATGTCCTGTTATTCATCATAATGATGATAATTGTTCAGTTCACATTTGACATAACTATCTTTAATGACACTATACTTTGATTGTATTTTTAGTTTTCTCCCTGGCTAAGCTAATGAATGTTAAAGAAGATCACAGTAAACTGTCAGCTATTGCGAGGTAATTATATCTGTTGAACATCATTGGTTGAAGTTCAGTGGCTAGAAATATACTTTGTTTAAAATTGAACTGAGTGACTGTTATACAACATCATCTTTAGTTTTCTTTATCCTTTTTAAGAGACTCTGCTCACGAATACACATGATTTAAGTGTAAAGACATTAAATAAGACTCAAATTAAAATGGTTGTGGCTAAGTTTGTTTTATCCTCATTATATTTTGTCTAGGTCCGACATTTTTAGTAGAAGTTCAAGACATTATTGTAAAACGTAATTGTTTTTTAACCGTGTTCATACCAGACAAGGTTCAGGAAGTGCTTGTCGCAGCCTGTATGGCGGATTTGTCAAGTGGATCATGGGGAAAGTAAGCTAACTTTTTGTACCTTTTTTTCTGGAAAAGTTTATTAATGATGATTGCAAAATTCGTAATCAATTTTCCTGGGTAACTGAAGGAAGAAAATGGTAGCGACAGCATTGCTGTTCAACTTGCAGATGAGAAGCACTGGGATGACCTTGTTATTATAATTGCAGTGGTGTGTATCCTACGTTTTTTCACTAAAAATATTCCATTTGGTCACCAACTTATCTTTGCTTTTTTGCTTGTTAATAATGATTTGATGTTAAATTCTGTTTCATGATAATCTTATCATTATAGTGTTCTGTAGCTGTGGCGCAAACATATTTATTTCCATTAAAGGGTGAAAGAAGTATTTATCACTTAATTTTTTTTCTGTTCATTCTTATTGACAATTACTTAGGTGCAATAATAAAGCTCCTTTGCTTTATAATATTCATTTATTTATTTATTTCCCACCACAATCGGTGGTGGTGATGACTGATTTCATTTTCATATAATATGCATTTAACATTTGCACTGAACTATTAAGATATAAAGTCTTGAATTCTCACTTCTTCAGCAAGAAATTCTTGCCATTTGTCATCTCATGACGCATCTATAAGCCATCAACTATTTTTCTCTTTCGTATTAGCGTCTACCAAGTTAAACTATTTATTGCTATTTTTTCTAGGGATGCTTATACTTCTTGTGCTAACATATTCTCTTAAATTCAGGTAAGTTCACGACAGAAGGAAACAAGCAGCACTTCTGGAATGAGTGATACAGTCAAAACCAGTGAGCTCATAAAACATAGAGCAAAGGTATATTTTGGTCTTATTTGTAACTCCCTAATAAGTATCTATATATTTCACATAGATGTTTCAAATGATTATTCACGTTCATCTTTGCTGTATTTTCGTAGTGTTAAATGGTTCATGATCTATTTTGGAACGAGACTTAAAATCCTACATTTTTCATATGTGTATATATTTCACAGGAAGTTGTACCAAAAAGGATAATACAGATGGAGGAAGCAATTAAGAATCGCGATTTTCCTGCTTTTGCTCGTCTGACGTGCAGACAGTAATCAGTTTCATGCAGTCTGCCTTGATACCTTACCCCCTACATGAATGACACATCTCACAGGCAAGCACTATCCCCTTTTCACGTCACATTAACGTCATAATATGGAATTTTGTATCTCGTTTTACATCCCTATTATTAATAATAATAATAATAATAACAACAACAATAACAATAACAACAATAATCATTATTATCAGAATATTTATTATTATTATTATTATTATTATTATTATTATTATTATTATATATTATATATACGTGTGTGTTATAAGGAACACCACAGGTACTACTTTTTCTCTCTCTGCGTTCTTGTTTCAAAAAAATCACCTGCATTCTAGATTTTGCAGTCCCCGTTTTTTAATACTAATGAGTTCTACTAACGGAAGTAGTACACTTTTGGATCACTCTGACATAAAAGGTTGGCATGCACTTTATGATAATGCATGTGGTGCACGAATTCATGATTTCACATATCACATCATCATTAAAACCAACAACCACCATAACTCTTGTCGCTAGGGTCAAAAATTTTGTCGCGCCTTATATGTCAACACAAAACTTCCCTAAATCTTATTTAATATTTTCCTAATCCGGCTAACCACACGGTATCTTCAATCATTGGACACATTTCTGATTGAATGATCAATTTGTGTCATATTTATTAATCTTCAGCAAGCAACTTCCCTCCACAGGTGGCTTATACATTTGATGCTGGGCCAAATGCAGTACTAATTTCTCACAACAGAAAGACTGCCGCCCTTTTGCTTCAGAGACTGCTGTTTTACTTCCCTCCACAGTCAGACACTGATCTGAACAGGTATATACACAATCCTGAAACAAGATTTCTTTTCCTTCCAATCTTAATGGGATTTTCTTGGCTCGAGACCTCTCAAACTTTAGTAGGGGGTGATTGGATGTAATAAGTTATTTTTGATTTTATTTGTTGGTTAGCAAGAGTTAATTTTGAAAAAGTTGATTGGGTTGGGTTTGAATGGGATATATAAAATATAATGATTAAAATTGATTTAATGTAAAAGTAGGAGAGAGGTGATTGTAAGTGATGAGTAGTTAAAATTGTGTGAATAGATGAATAGTGAATTACAGATGATGTAATGTGTGAGGATGATTGGTTGGTATTATTTAATTATATTGATAATATTGAGGAGTGTTAGGTTGAGTTAGATTTTGTGTTAAAAAAACTATGTGATCAAGAGTGACCGACCACATATCTTATAAACTATGGGCCTTATTATTCCTTTCTCTCTCTCTCTCTCTCTCTCAGTTATGTTATTGGTGACAAAACGATACTAAAAGATGCCAGGATTCACGAGATGAAGGATGTGGATGCTTTGTCCCCACCTCCTGAAATCAAGGATAACAATCTATCAACCCACAAAAACATAGGTGACGTTAGCTACTTTATCTGCACAAGGCCTGGGAGAGGTCCAATAGTGTTAACCGATCAAAGTCAATCCCTTATCAACCCTGAAACAGGTCTTCCTAAATAATAGCAGAGGGATGATTTTTGAGTTTTTTGAATTACTGGGGCAATTTTAAGCTGTGAGCCTTTACATCGCTTTGTGTTTAGTGAAATCAGTTCCTTGCAGAAGTTTTAACTTTTCAGACCTGTTGTTTGCTTCTGTATTATTGGCACCATGTTGTATAAACATTTTGTTATTAAATGATGACAAATAAATGCCAGCTAGGTCCCCGTTTCATAGTGTCTCAGTTACAAGCTAATATTTTAATTTTTGCTCTTTTCTTCACGGTTGAGGCAGTTTTTGCATTTTCATTTTTTTTTCTTCCTCGTACTTTGTATATTTGTTCGTCGTTGGCTGATTCACATAGGTTGCATGAAGAGAGGGTTCGTGTCGTGTTGTTGTGTTTTATGTTTTGGAAGTTTCATATATAGGTTTCGAGTCGAAGTTTCGATGTAATTTCCTTGGATTTTGGGAAGAATTTTTTCACTTTTACAGTGGCCTTTTCGTCTAAAATTTTCTTGCACATATCTTTCATACCCACCCTTGTTTTGAACAAGTGCTTAGTCCAACTGCAGTGAAAAATGTGGTATGCTCATGCATTTCACAAGGTAAGTCAAACTGACACAAGATTTGAGTATAAGAATAGTTTCTATCCATTTCACCAACAGGTACTATGAAATATAGACTATCCAGCCCATACTATCCATACCTTATCCTTTGTAATTAGTATCAACACTAATTATTGTTTCACAAAAGTTTGTGCCAGACCACTTAAATTAGGTGGGTGGATACAAAAATGCCGTACTTTTACTGTCAAATACCATACTTATGCTTATGTTATTATTTTGAAAAAATTTATGAGCTAAGTGTGAATATCAAATTAATATAAAAAGATTTTTTAAAATTTTATGTCTCAAGACTACATAGATATTAATCATTATTATAATGATCTGGAAAAAAAATAAAAATTATAATAAAAATAATTATTTCATAAAGTTTAAAATGTTACACTCATATACATTATATTTTAAATTATTGAATATTGTAATGTTGAAGATATTTAAAAAAAAAATATTAGACGAGGGAACAAACTTTATATACATAATATAATTACAATATAATCAGACTTGAAAAAATTAGATTAAATTCAAAATAAATTATTGAGTTGTAGATATTATATATATATATATATATGTGTGTGTGTGTGTGTGTATGTGTGTGCACGCGCGCATGAGAGAGAGAGAGGTTAAAAAATGATCTTTTTGACAATTCGAGCAAAAAACATGGGTACTACTTTTAGTAATTAACTTTGTTATTTTATAAATTATTAGTTGTATATTTAATTTTTTATCATTCTATTACAAGAATATAAATATCTTCACTTATTTATTTTGATACAAATATTTAATTTCAAGCGCTCGTGTTGTTCACAGGCGTTATATTAACTGTCGAATAAATTAACCATTCTATTTAATTTGCCATAAATGAATATATATTAAATAAAATAAATAATACTTCATAAAAGTATTTCTTAGAATTAGAAATAATATTAAAATAATTCCTAGTAATTATTTATAGTTTTTTGTTTTCACAATAAGAATTTTATTCTTTTTCCACGTTTTGTCGGACAATTAGTTTTTTATGAAACACAAGTCTGGTTCACGGGCGTTGTACTAATAAGTTATTATTAAGTATTAACTAAATAAGTGCAGTTCAACTAACCAATTGGTAATGATTCTTAAAATATAAAATTATTTATTCATTATATTTAGTGATTCCTATATAAGTTTAATATTTTATAAATACATTCTATTTGTAAACCGATAGTTTGAAACCGGTTTAAACGGAGGATTTCGCTGTTTTTTTAATTATTTTTATTCATTTGTTTTAGTTTTGAAACATGTTAAACTTAAAAAAAAAAATAAGAAAACCGGATTTTCTCGACTTGAGCGATTTTCCACAGTTCGGTTCTTGAGCATCTCTAAACACAAGTGCATTAGTTTGACCAAAGACATAAGTATTGAAAAGCCCAAAACTGAAACTCGTTCGAAAGCCCAAAGGCGATCTGAACTGGGGCAAATATCGGGCTCAAACCCACTTTTTCGGCTCAAGTTGTGGCTGTAAATAAAATCTCCCTTCAATTCCAAGACAAAAGAAACCTATTTCAATTCCCGCGTTCTAATTACCTCGAAGCGATCAACCCCAAAACAGCATGAAGGCTCTCGATCAGGTGCTTCCTTGGTTAATTTCATAATTTAATTGTTCATATTTCGACTCGAATGAATTTTCTTGTTTCGTTTACAGCATATTGGATTTTTCTTTTAATTTTTTCCTAATTTTATCTCGATCAGGAAGTGAAATCTGATTGTGGATCAGTGGATAGGAAAACCGGGCCCGATGACGACGCATTAGCTACTTCTTTTGAGAAACAAGCAGTTTCTGATACTGATATGTTTGAGGAGGTACGTAGAGTTCTTCTCCTCGACTGCCGGGATTTAGATATTTTTTTTATGATATCGAGGATTCTCCTTTCTAAGGATCAATTGCTTAATTATGACTGTGTGTTGATTTTTATAATTCTGATTTGGGGAAGCATGGTTTGAATGCTCGATTGGATCCGTATTTGAGTTCGATGACATGTGCTGTTATGATACAAGCGAACTATACGTGTATTAGTTAGTAATTTATTTGTTGTTGGTTTGGTTTTTAATTGGGTCACGAGAAGGATTCTGAGGATCAATTGCTTCACTATAATTGTGCGTTGATTTCTATCGTTCGATTTGGGGAAGCATGGCTCGATTACATGAACTCGACAACATGTGTCGGTATGATACAGAACGAAATATTCGTTAGTAATATGTTTGTTGTTGGTTTGCTTTTCCATTGAATGAATTCAATTGAAAATATTTGTGTGGAATGAAATAATGAATGATGTTTAATGGAAATATTTGAGTGTTTAATGAATGATCTTTTCATTAGGAACTCAAATCTGGTTCAATATCTAAGAGAAAGGTAGAGCTTGATAATGCATCTTTTCCCACTTCTGTTGCTAAGAAACCAGCAACCTCTGATGCCGGCACCTCTGATGTCGTAACTACTATTGGGCATGTATGTAGAAAGCTTCTCACTGGCCTTAGTTGTTTTTATGACATGGAAGATACTCTTTTATTTATTATTGTGTGTTGACTTCTGTTTGGTGGATTGGTTGTATTCCTTTTAATTGGTCCCAAGGATGAGGAGGTTGATATGGATACTGACTATCTTGTGCTTGACAATGCACCACCCGTGTTTGAGTTAAAGTATTGGACTACTCTTGATACGAATGTAAGTCTATTTTATTTTAACCCAAAAAAAAAACTATGTTCGATGAATTGATTTTTTGTTTTTGTTTTTGTTTTCTTTTAATTGTATCTCCTCTTTTGTGTTGGTTGGGTAAATTTACTCCTGAAATTAAGGGTTCGAAAGCATTTATTTAGTTTCATTACTCTAAATAATGATATAGGATGATGATTTGAAAGATGAGCTTGCTAAACATTTTGATCGTGGATCAGACCAATTCAGGACAGCACTTGATATTGTAAGTGATAGCTACGGGTTTTACATACCTGTCACAATACTATTAAACTTTTCAAGTTGCTGTGCTTTTGTCTTTTGTGTCTACTACTTTTTCATGAAGCTTTTCCAATTGAATGGTTATGCACTGCGTAATGATATTCCTGATGGCTGGCCTTTTGCTGATAAATTAAATGTTAGCTCTAATTTATTGTGATTATCCAATTTCAGCTTGGTGGTCATCTGCATGATTATAAGGCTCGATTTGGCGGGGATTCTGATCATCCTGGTGGCGGGAACGTGATTGTGGGAGCTATATTGAACGAAGATGGTAGTCTTTTGTGTTCATTCTTTCGCTGAAAAACTGTCCCACTTCCGCATGGGCTTACGCAATCAAACCTGTTTTTTGCGTAGTTATAGCATGTGAATAACCTAGGAACACTTGTGCTTGACTCAAGCTGGAAATGAGTGATTGAGCTTTTGATGAAACAGCAGATACAATGGGCCTGGTCTTAGCAATTAACAAAGGAATATCTAGAACCCAGAAATGCTAAGGAGCCATCCGATGGTTCCGTTATGGAGCCATCTGATCCATGTGGCATCACATGGGACAAAAAAAATATGGCCCACACTTACACTTTCAATAGTGTGTACCCCGTGCGATGCACGGAAACAATATTAAATCTACAATATTATAAATAGACCTCGAGTTTGAGTTACTAAGTGGAAACTACTATTGATTCTATTTAAAAAGAGGAAGAAAAATAGTAATTATAAATTAAAGAGGAGGATAAACAATACTTAATAATTAATAATTAAAGTTTCGGGGTCAAACAATGTAAAATTATTTTGTATAAGAGAAAATAAAATTTGCATTATTTTGTATAAGAGAATATAAAATTTGGATGTTTAATATTAAAACACCTAAAATGTTATATTAGTATATGTAAAGGTATTAAAAAATTTCTATATTATTTTTGCAAGATGTGAAGTCACCTACAACTTTTCTAAACAATTTTAGAAGGAAAATATATCTAATATTTAAATTTAACATCAATTATGTATATATGTGTATATATATATACACCAAATTTGTTTAAAATATCTAAAATATTATAAGCCTAATTTAATAAAGACATTCAGATGATACCAAATTTATGGTGTTACTTCCATCTAACAAAATTTGATTATACACAATTTCAAAATATTATTATATTTCTACGTTGTTATCGAAGATGTATTGTTAGTTTATAATATTTGTAAAAATATTAGTAAAAAATTAGCAGTGACCATGTATTGTTATTTTATAATATTTGTAAAAATATTAGGGATGAGATTTTGAGTACCATAAAAACAAGTAAAAGAAATACAAATATTTATTGTCACCGGCGGTTTTGAGTAAAAAAAAGGAAAAAGAAATACAGATATATAGTGTCACCGGGGCGACCAAAAAATCAAGCAAAAGAAAAA